AGACAGTTCCCAGCAGGACAATTCACACATGACTTCATCTTTCTTTTCAAGGAGCATCAACCTGTTTGCCTCTCCCTTTCTTCACTGCTGGTTCCTCATTGAATTCTTTCCTTCCTTTCTGCTCCAACCCAGTGGCGGAGCCCTGGCCAAGCTGATTTGCAGGGCTACGTTCAGTATATGGGAAATCTCTCCTTGCTCTGAGTGCATCCTTGTGGGAGGATTGTGGTGTCAGCGCCTGGGGAGTTTACCAATTGGAAGGAGAATTAATGCTCCCCGTTTCTAAATAGGCCCCACTGCCATACCCCTGTCTTTATTAAGACAGTTCTTTTTGTTGAATGAGCTCATATTTCTAGCTCATGGGAGCGGGTTCATTGTGTGCTGTTTATTAGGGGAGGGAACTGAGGCTTTGTGTGGTTATTCATGGGAGACACTGAAAGGCGTCCGCCCGGTTTTGATGGGAAATGAGGTGACACAGCCACCAGGAATTCCTCCCCATCTAGTCACCCCATCTGGCGACTAGGATGCCCGTTCCCGGGTTGACAGCAGTAATGCTTTTATAGCGTCTGCTTGGGAGCATCTCGTGTGCTTCCCATAGTCAGGATAGTGGTGTGTCACCTTCCCCGGCTCAGAGCCGTCTCTCCTCCGGGCCTGTTGGCCCTCTGCGGTGTGCAGTGTCTGTGCAGTGTGCATTGGCCGCACATTGGAATCACCTGGAGAGCTTTAACTGCCACCTTGTCCTGCCCTAGTAGATTCTGATTTAACCCCACTGGAGGGAAAATTGGAATTTTGAGAAGCGTCCCAGGTGATGCTAATGTGCAGCCAAGGTCAAGAATGGACCACCCCCAAGAGAAAGCATTTCTCAACTGGGAGTGATTTTGCTGACTCTCCCCTTCCTGCCCTGACTCACAATGTCTGAGACACTTTTGAGGGTCACACGGAGAGGAGAGCGCTACTGGATCTAGTGGGTAGAGGTCAAGGATGCTGCTAAGCAGCTTACAATGCACAGGACAGCCCCCCCACCCACCCCCACGATGAAGAGTTATCCAGCCCCACATGTCATTACTTCCAGAGTTGAGAAACTTTGCTCTAGAATGGTGGTTCTCACACTTGAGTGTACCAGAACCACCTGGAGAACTTGTTAAAACACAGACTGTTGGGCTCCGCTCCCAGGGTTTTGGATTCAGTAAGTCTGGGGTGGGGCCTGAGAATTTGCATTTCTAACAAGTTCCCAGGTGCTTGCTCAAGCTGTCGGTCCAGGGCTACGCTTTGAGAACCCCTAGTCTAGACTGACTCTGCATCCTGTTTTTCTAGATCTGTGATATATCCATTGTGGTTACTAGAAAACTCTAAAATGGCAATGACTTAATAACTAAGAAGAGCATTCTCTCCCACATAACAGAATTCCAAAGAAAGGCCATCTAAGGCTAGTGTGGTAGTTCTGGAGTTATCAGGGACCCAGGTTCCCATCTTCTTGTTAGATCATCTTAGTGCATGACTCCCATCATCAATGTCCCTCATGGTCCAGAATGGCTGCTGGAGCACCAGCCATCATGTCCTCCTTGAAAGCAGAAGGTAGGAAAGGCAGACAGGGGAAAACAGTGGCATCCCTCCAACACCTTTTGAACACACTTCCCATGGCACTTTTGCTTATATCTCTTTGGCCAGATCTTGGTCACATGGCCATAGCTACAAGAAAGGCTGAGAAACATAATCTTTTTATTTTGGGCCACAATGTGCCAGCCAAAACTCAGTTATGTTACTAAGTAGAAAAGGGAGGATACATGGTAGAGTAATCAACTGAACCGCTTCTGCCCATATGTGCATCCTTTCGAAGAGTTACCATTTGTATCTGTATATTTGGCATCTGCCCTGTGCTTTTCATGCAGTATATCATTTAATCCTAACAGCTCTGCAAGGCAGATAATAATATCATCTCTGTTTTTCAGATGACGGACAGAACCGAGACTTGCAGAGATTAAGCCATCAGCCCAAGTTGACAGTCACAAATGGTATAACTTGAGAGTCTGCCTCTAAGCCTGGGCTGCTTCTTGCCTTGGTTGCTCTCAGGGACCTGACCTTTTCCTTCTGAGCCTGCAGGGTTTCTGTTAGACATTTATAAGCCCAATGCGGGACCCTGTCCCTTCTGACCCGCTGCATTCCATTGTCACCTATATCTGCACCGTGATCCCCTCTTCTGTAGATCTACTGAGCGACAGAGGCGTGGTATGCCCGATGGACAAGATTAGTTCCCTATGGCCGTCGTAAAATTACCACAAACTTCGTGGCTTAAAACAACGCAAATTTATTCTCATACATCCTGGAGGCTCATTCCACTGGGCTAAAGTCAAAGTACCCGCAGGGCTGGTTCCTTCTGGAAGTGCTAGGGAAGAATCCATTTCCTTGCCTTTTCCAGCTTCTGGAGGCCCCTGTGTTTCCATTTCCTCCCTGAATCACTCCAGACTCCTGCTTTCATTTTCACATTTCACTCCCTCTCCTGTGTCACATCTCCTCCCCAGCCCCCACCCCCACCTCCCTCTTGTAGGGACCCTCGTGGTGACGGTTGGGGCCCACCTGGGTCTTCCAGGATCATCTCTGCACATCAGACCTCTTCTGCCGCCGAGGGTCACATTTACAGGCTGCCTGGATTAGGACGTGGGTGTCTTTGCGGGCTAACAGTCAGCCAGCCACAGGGGCCCTCTTGGTCCAGTGCTGCCTTTCCTGGTCCCCAGCTTTGCCTCCGTGGGCTGTTCCCGACACAGACACTGCCTACATTTCACTCGGGGAGTTGTTAGGCCAGAGACAGGTTCTGGAGGGCACGGCGGTGTGTCCGAGGTTTGTCTAATCAGCCCCACTGGCCATGGCAACAGGCATGAAAACACTCAAGTGGAAAAGGAGTGGGGGAAGGGGACCCTGCCCTGGAGGTGGCAGAGTGACTTCACCTGGGCATGATGCACGCCGGACAAGCATAAACAGCAGGTACAGTCAGTCACCCGGCGGCAGGCTTTGCAAACCCTCTGGGCCGCGTGTTTCTAGGTCACCTTGCAAACCTCTAGGTGCCTGCTAATCTGTGAGCCCCCCTCTCGCCTTTCCCTAGGCTCGTGCAGGCTTGTCTTCGGCCAAATACAAAGGCTACACCTAGCAGGGTTTATGGGAGGAGGGAGGGCGGCGGGAGTGTTAGGCTCTGTTGGGCTGGTTCTGTCCTAACCTTATTTTCCTTCCCTGCAGTGATTCCCTCGTCTCTGTCCCCCCCACCCCATCACAGCCACCCCCCGACCCCCAGCCCCGCCTTGGCTGGGTCTGCCGGGATGACTCTGGGATATTGTATGTTTTGCTTTTTATTTTCTTTTGCAAGTGCCTCCCAACATTCCCCTCTGTGTTTCATGTCCCCCTGCCAAGTGCATGCAGTTGCTGGGCAACAAGAAGGAAGTCCCTATGTGATTCACCCACTGCTGCCAATTAATTTGCTAGCTGCGTGCGTCTCCCCGGGGAAAAGGTTCCTCCTGGCCCTCTGTGAGGGCTGCTGCCCCGGAGGGGAAAGGGAACCGGAGGAGAGTTAGCAGAGCTTTGGGGCTCTTCAGGGTGTTTTCGGTTCCAAATGAAAGAGTGTCTGGGTGAGACTTAGGGGTTCCTCTTGGCGGCCAATCAGAGAGCCTCTCGGAGCCCAAGAGTGCCTCTGCGTGGGCACGCTGGCTGGCGCTTCGTGGGTAGGTGGCTCTAACACGCAGACCCCCGCCCCCTGCAGCTCTCTGGCAGAGGAATGTCTTCTGTGTTCTCTCTGCTCGGTCTGCCCACCCCCCACCCCCCGGGGCAGGCCCTGACTGGGACCTCCTCCCATCCCTGACAGTTAGTGCCTTGTCTCTGGGTGTCCCTGCCTGGGCGGTAGCCAAAGCCCATGGGAAGGAGAACACCCCTGCGCAGGCTAGGCTGCGACCTCCGTAGGTCTGCAGAGGGGCCCATGGGAGCCTGTTGGCCCAGACCGCCCCCAGAATCTCCAGTGTGTGTCCCTCAGCCATCGGTGTCCTTCCGGCCTCGTGCTTCATCAGTATCCCCTCTCTGCTAAGGCCTGCGAGGCCGGGGCTTGCCTGCCTGCTCTGTGTCCGTTTTCACGGCATCTCACCCGGGCTGGTCCTTGGGCACGCGTGCATCTGCAGGTGCCCACGTTGTTCCGTATGGGTGGACGGTGACTGCCGCAGCCGTGAGGCCTGGATTATCCGTGTCTGGGAGTAGGCCCCTGGCTTGCCTCGCTGGGCCTCGTCAATTTTAAAATGGGGAAGTCCCCTGGGGGCATTTGGTGGCACTAGGTATATTTGCCCCTCAGAAATGGGGGTCACGGGGTGGTGGGAAGTCAGGAAAGTATGTGGAGCCCACGTCCATCTTCGCTTATTTGCAATCAGCATTAGGAAAACAAATGTGTTAAGCCGAGTCTTCCCGTTTCCTCCCAGGGACCCCTTTGTTCTGGGTAATTTCCTAATTCGTGGTTAAGGGATTTGTGAGAACAGACAGACGTCCAGCTAAAGTGAACATTAGGTTAGGGACCAGGCCCTTGCCATCCTGTACTAAGAACACCAGCAGCCTCTGTGCCTCAGTTTTCCTGTCTGTAAAGTGGGTGACCTAACACCTCCATGCTTCCTGCGCCGAATCTCACGGACAATGTCGTGACATGCTGAAAAACAGAAGCTTCCACTTCCTCTGGGCTGGCTATATTCAGTGTTTTCTGGGTTTTTTTTGTTTTTGTGTTTGTTTGTTTAAATCAGCTATGTGGTTATAGTGGTGAGATCTGAGTGGAGGGTTCCTGGTGGTAATTCAGTGTAGGGGGAGTTCCTTGAGTGGTATAAATAGGGCGCCTTTTTTTTTTTCCTGTCTTAGCTCAAATAGTACTTTTTGCACTGTGGGTTCTGTTCACTGGCTAGAACATTATGGACTAAAGACAGGAGAGTCAAGCTCACTGCTGAAAGAGCAGAAGGCAGAATCTAACTCTGATGCTGTGTTTCGGTCTACAGGCCTGGAAAAGAGCAGCGGCTAAGGGCCGCTCTTCCTCACTCCCACTTGCCACCAGGAAGCTGGGGGGAGCCAACGTACGCCATTGGGACCTCTCAAAGTACCCGGCTAATATGGGACCATCTCTTAAGAGGCAAGAGCTCTGGCTCTGATTAAGAATTCTTATTTTGGAGAAAGAAGAAACTTCTGGATTTAAGACATTGGAAGAGAAAGTAAAGACCTTTGCACTGAGGAATAGTGTATGTCTGGACCCGCACGAGCTGGACGCAACCTACAGTTGACGAGTCACCATCATCACAGACCTTGTCCTTCCTTCTTGTGGAAAACATTTCCTCTTCTGCTGCCTGCCCTTAAGACTCCCCCGCACCCCCCAGCCCAATGCCCGGGAACCAAAGGGCTTTCTACCACACCCTTTCTTGCCCCCCAGTTCCCCCGTCTGCTGTGCCTTTGGACTCGGCAATTCTTGTTTGCTCCATTATCTTCCAGCCGGATACAGAGTGAATTGTTAACCACACTTAGGTCAAATGGGATTTTAATTTTTGTTCCTGTTCCTTCTAAAGAGGCCAGTGTTTGTGTTGCTATGTGAGCAGCATTGGAATAGAATGTCCTCTCGCTTCTTTGGGATCTGGCCCCTCAGGTTCCAGAGTGATACGGGTCAGTGCAGAAGTTCTTCGGGACCTCAGATGTCAGGGATGTTGCCGGGGGGGCCTCCTGTAGGGGCTCTGGTGTCCTCCATGTCAGCTTTCTTTGCTTGGATCCCACCCAGATGTTTGTCCGGAAGAGCAAAAAGTGAATGCTGTGTGTTCATCCCCGCTATCTGCTCTTTTTTTTTTTTAATGTCATTTGATGTATAATTGACATAGTATTCTGTCCATTTCCCACCTGTCTTCTGTTGACGCAGACGTACCACCAGCTGTGAAGACCCCTTCCCTCAGATGGCAGATGGGGCCCCGGCCAGAGCATGGGGCTTTGTCACAGACCATCTCGCTACCAGAGCTGTGTGTTTATTGAAGACCCTCTGCCCCTCGGATGCTGGTGTCACTCCTGACGGCAGACCGGGCCCCTCGAAACACGAGTCCTGTTTGTTTTGTCCCTCCAGTGCCACCGTGCACGTGGCTGAAAACACTTCTAGAGTCAACCTTGTCTCAATTGCAGAGCCGAAGATGTCCGTTCGTTCTACTTCTAAAGCAAACGATGGCTTGCCTTTGTAGGAGGAATTAAAGCCATACACATATATCTTCTCTTTGTTTGTGGGTGAAGTGTTTCTGTGACCATAGAATGACCTCCGTGTCTGCTCAGGGGAGCAACGGGGTCCTTCTTGGCCTTAGATTCCCCACAAAATAAGCAAGGAGAACCTCTTGAGGTTGTTTCCTGCTGTTGAAATGTAAGGCTCGTTCATGGGCTTTGGTCTTCCTTCCTTGACATGCACACAGACTTGTTGTACTGGTTAGAGTCTTTCAGGTTTCAAGGAACAGAGACCCCTTAGATCACCTGCATTAACGTGGGTTTATTCCAAGTTGCTCTGGAAGTAAGGTAGACAGGAACGGTCTGCCCAGCAGCTGCCCAGCGAGGCCTTTCTAGAAGCCCAAAGTCATTCAAGACATCCATTCGCTAGACAGTTTCCAGAAACAGCAAGAACTCTGATGCTGTGGTCATTTTGATCATCTGCTCAGCAGCACGACTCACTGCTCCTGATTCTGGAATTCTCCTGTGATGATGAGCTGAGGGTGCTGGCTGTCCCAGAACACACAACTTTCCGTGATAAACCTGGGACAGTCCTGGGCAAACCGGAACAATTAGCCACGCTCCTGGGTTACAGAGTTACCTGCCATAGTTTGCTGATGCTCTTGATTAGCCCAACCAGCTGCCATTCAGAACCCTTGTGTCTGACCACATTGTTCACCACTGGGCAGGCTGTAGATGGAGGCCATTGGATCAAGCACCCAGTCCTGACCACATCAGGTGTTTCCCGGGTGGTAGGGTTACATGATATTGAATAAAAACCTGGATGTAACAAACCAGCTGAGACCACTTCCTTCAGAAGAAGTGCTGTGGATAGTGGACCTGGGAGCCATTCAAGGTATCAGGGATTCCTCTCCAATCCAGTCCTACTTAAAAAAGGCGATGCTAATAACCTTTCTTGTTAAGAACAGAACAGTTCCTTAGGAAAGAAAACTACCACGGCCACTGGGAACGGGGGTGGTGGTGGGGGAATAAACTACACGTGTCTGAGAGACACGCATATACCACGTAGAATGAGCCAAGAAGAAAACTCTGCATCTTCGCTAGAGAGAGTAAGAGCTAAAATCATCAGGGTAGGGTTGTCTAGGGAGCAAAGGAGTTGGCTGGAGGACTTCCTGAGATTCCTTTGAACTCTAGGATTCTTTGAAATATCAAGGACCCGTAAATGGGGCCCAAGTGTGTACTTTCCCTCAGAGTCTCTGGATCACCTTTGAGTTCCACTCCGATCGTGTTGAATGGGACCTCCCAGCTCCCTCTTCCCTCTCCAGGCACTGCCTCTATCTGGGATAAGGGAGCAGAACTTGGTGGTGGTTGTGGGCGGTGGAGGCAGATGGGAAGGTTGTACCTGCCCAACTTTTGGTGTTCTTGACAAGTAAGAACAATCTGAAGGCAAATTACAGGTACTTTTCAGGTTAGTCAAAGCCAGGCTTTCGGGCTTGCATGCCATCCTGTAGCTGTTGCTTCTTGTCAGGGGGTCAGGCCTCCGTCGTTTCTGTTGAAAGACGGGCATGCGCGTCTGCAGTGTTCTAACGGGAGCCTTCAGCCCGTCCCGCCCCTCTTGCACGCTGTGGCCATATGGGGGGTTATTGCCTGCCAAGGTAGAGATGAGCATGCAAACATCGAGAAACCCAACTCTCATTACCACTATGCAAAGATCGAGATCCCCCATGCACCCGAGTCTTTGCCCTGTTCTGGCTCTCTGTGCCTTCACTGTCATAGAAGGAAGGCTAGCCCAGCGCCTTGGGCACCACTTTTCTTTTTAAAAAGATGAACTCATTTCAGACGTTCCCTTCATTCATGTCCCATGTACGGTCTTTGGTTCCAGAAGAAGTCTCATTGTTGTGCCAAAGGCAACAATCTCCTCTTTCTCTCTCTCTCCTTATCTTCTTGTCCACATAGAATCCCAGAGTTCAAAGTGGTCTAAAGGCATCACCTTTATCTAGATTTACCTCTGACTGAGGCAGGAATCCCCTTTCCAGCATCAGACGAGGGATCACCCAGGCCTGGGGGAGGCAGACTTTATGGCAGAACGGGAGAGGACTGTGAGAGAGGGGTGAATGATACTCAGCCTGGTAAGGGAAGCGGTAGGATTGTGAAGAGCGGCTCGTGGGCTGCCTAGAGACCACGAATGTCAACTTCTTAATGAGATTTTGAGGCAGGTGCACTGTGCCCCCTCCCCAGCATATTTCGGTCTCTTCTGGATCCAGGGTGCCTTCCGCTGATAAAAAGCACAGAGTGGGGAGACAAGGAAATCTGAGATTTTTGTCTCCAAAAGCTCCTCATCTTCGTTCCTTCCCTGCAAAATGGAGGAGCCGGGCCACGTGATCCCCGAAGCCCCTTCTGTCTCTGACATCCACAGTGCCGTCGTATTTAATCAAGTCGGTGACTTGAAGGTTTGCTTGTTTTTTGCTCCATGTGAGAAGAGTAAATCAGATGTTGCCCAAGGTACGGTAGAAAGGCATCTCATCCACATGCTGAACATACTCATCTTGCTGTGATCCATTATGAACATAACCTCAAGTTCCGGCCCTGTCCCGAGATTTTGTTCAGGCTTTCCTGTGAGATTTTCCCATGGCATCAAAACTTGACCCACAGGGACCTTTTATCCTCTTCAGAGGGTCCCCCAAACCCCAGTGTTGATGGAGAAATAGAAGGTTCTAATGGTGAAGTATGGCCCTCTGCTCAGGGGAATATGGTTTAAAGGGCATAAGGGTGACCTTGGGATTGGCCACTGACCTTGGACAAGACCCTCAATGCCGGGCTGGTGGGAGGCAGGGCTGGTGGGAGGCAGGGCTGGGTCCCCCTAGCTCTGCTTCCGAGTGAGACCTTCTATGCCCAGGCTGACAAGAGCTCTGAACTGGGGAGGGGAGGGGGGTGTCTGGAAGTCTGTACTTTAGTCCTACCTTAACTTCAGCCCCAGGGTCCTTTTCTGTGGGTCTCAGTCTTCTCATCCACAAAGTGGGAGAGAGAGGGATAAGTGGGTGGTGTGGATGGTCCTCTAAGGTCCCTCCCATGTGTCAAGTTCTAAGCCTCGCCAGACCCAGCTGAGGCCTGCCTATTCTCTGACAAGTAGCTCTTCTCCTTTTGCCTTCGGCTGCACAAGCCAAAAACAGGGCTGTCCTGGGAAGTCCATTACCGAAGAATACTTCAAAGCTGTTTGCACTCATTGTCAGTTGCACTGAACTTGAGTTTGTTGAGGGAGAAGGCAAATAGACATACAGACTGATGGCAGGCACGGGGAAGGGGGACTGCTATTTGCCTGGGGTGACGGGGGGCGGGGGGGATTGCCTATAGTTTTGACCAATAAATAAAAACTGGGAGCTCTGCGTGGTTACAACTGGAGGGGATTTATTAGTTTGCTTAGTGAAAGGCAAATATTAAGTCTTAAGTTGACCCATCCTGGGACCTGCCTTTTGGCTTTTGTATGCCGTCCGGCACCGATCACTGTGTACTTCGGGTTATCAAGTTCTGTCAGAGGGTTTTTTTTTTTAATTGTTTTCTGTCTCCTTCTCCTTTCTTCCCTCCTTTGCCTGCCTTCGCCCCGCTGTTACCACAACTCGGGGCTGGGTTTTAGAGACGTAAGGAAAGCAGAATGTGGAAGACACCTTGTCGCATTGTCCTGTTTACGAAGCTGGCTGTGTTCAGGGCTCCCGCTGGCTTCGGAACTGCCCGGCTATGGGGCAGAGGCTCAGGACCAGGAGGTCCTCGTGGGTCCCCTCCATCCTCGGCCCTGAGCATAAGTCTGGGCATCGGAAAAAGATACCCATCGCCCGTTTTTCTGTGTTGTAACCTTTCCTTCCTATGTGACTGTTGGTGCTGAACAGTGACTGGTGATCTCAGCCAGATGCCCTGCAGAATGAGCCACTGAAGGTAACATCGTGAGGGCATTATAATTGGGGTCTGACCAGGGTTTGTCACCATCCAGGGAGTGAAATGTCCAGACCAGAGAGGGGCTGGACAGGTACCCGGTCTATCCAGTTTCCAAGTATGAGCTGCAGTGAAGCTAAACGATGTGGAACATTCCTTACCCTTTGCCTCAAACGTCCTCAGTGCAAAGCCAGTCTGTTCTGAAGCATTGTGGTTCTTGGGGTCTTTGGGCCTCATGGGTGGGGCTTGCTGATACCCACCACTATGGGGTCTGGCCCACCAGGGCACCCTAAGCCCCCAACCAACCTGGCAACGGTCCACAGAGGGTGCACCTCACAGGCCAGTTCAGGATATCATGGCTCACCACCACTCCTCCTATAGCCAAGAGTTGGGAATGTTCTGGAATTGCTTAATTAAGAAAGTTGCTTTCACATTCCAGTGGTGATTTTGATTGAACTCAGCATGATTTTTAACCCTCTGGCAATTCTTCCTGGATGAGTCTTTTTTTTTTAAGATTTTATTTATTTATTTGACAGAGAGAGACATAGCGAGAGCAGGAACACAAGCAGGGGGAGTGGGAGAGGGCAAAGCAGGTTTCCAGCGGAGCAGAGAGCCTGATGTGGGACTCGATCCCAGGACCCTGAGATCATGACCTGAGCCGAAGGCAGACGCTTAACGACTGAGCCACCCAGGCGCCCCTGGATGAGTCTATTTTTTTAAAAATTCAATGTTGGGGGTTACCCAGGCTACTGAAGTCCTCCTGGTCCTTCAAGGCTCAGTTCCCAGTCTCCCTTCTCAGGGATGCCTTCCTGAATTCCTTCTGCCCTCTCGACCAGGCGCACGTTCTTTTAACGCATTTATCTGGCACTGGATAGGTACTCAAAAAGTGCTGATCCCTCCTTCCTGGACCCCAGTGCTTTTCATATGGCATTTACTGTGCTTACACTGAACTTGTTTGAAGTACCTCCTCCTCCCCAACCCTCCCTCCCTTTCCCCCTCCCCTTAAAAGAGCAGGAGCCGGGTCACTCCTGACACATTGAAGTTTATCCCTGAGATGCCCACTCATGTTCACGATCATGTGGCAGGCACTGTGATTGACCTTCGATCCTCAGAAAACAGAATCACATGGACTAATCACTTGGACCAAGTCTTACATGTGAAAGTTGGGATCAGAACCACGGTCGCTAAGGGGCCTCAGGTTCAGAGCCCTTCAGTTTTGGCATGGCAGTTTGGACGAGGTAGATGTACAAGAAAGACGTTGGGTTGACTTTTCCTACTAATGACCTGTGGCTTCGTGTCCCACCAAATTTGCTGGTTTCGCATTTGCCCATTATTCATCAATAAAGTGTTTTCTGAACAGTGGAGAAAATGTGCTTGTTCCTTGATAGGTTGCTTTCCCTGCAGAAACCTTTCTTGAAATAATATGTGTCTGTTTTTATGCTGATTATTTGAGAGCTGGGTTCATTTTTGAGGTCAGAATGAGAAATTTAAACTCAGAAGTTTAGGTCAGAATTCCTGAGGAATTTTACAGTGTCTAATAGGAGAAACACAGAAGGGGGAAAAAAAGGAAAAAAAAAAAAACCATATATGAGATGCTCCCTGCCTTCGGGATCTTACGTACAATGTTAATCGCCAGATGAACTCTTTGGTAGGGTTCCTGGAGACTCTGGATGGATGATGCTGCCTACCCTTCACTGTAATGCAAACTTTTCCAGTAAAGTCACAGGCAGAGAAGTTGGGTAACGATGGGCAGATCCCCTGCTACAGGGGATGGGCCCGGGCTCCAGGGAATACTACCTGGGGACTGAAGGTAAAGACGGAAGAGGTGTCACTCAAAAGCAAGCAGGCTCCGGGAGAGAGGGTCTGTTCCCATTTGCTCTCTGATTAACCACCCTTCCCACGGGGAGGAGCGCAGAAAGGAAAAGGGAGCAGCAGAGATATAGGCGGGAGGTCCACCTTCTTCGGGAAGAGGGGAAGAACCCAAAGTCCACCCCCTCTTCTCACTTGGTACACACTAGTAGAATTAGAGTTTTGGACAAAGGGGATGCTCTCTGCGGGCTTCGGTCACCGGCACAGTTTCAGACATTTGAGAGATGATAGGACGTTCAGCCAAGAAAAATCAGGCAATCCAGGAAACTGTATGTCCCGTGTTCTAGAGGGCTTTACAATTCCACAGCTTCTCGTTCGAATCTCAGCCACTTTGTGAAAGGTATTGAGACCTCGTTGTTACAGGTGAGGATACGAAGCTGAGGGGGTCAGTGACTCACCGTGGGACACACCCCATCCTCCACGCCCTGTTCTGCTTTCTCGACCGACATCTCCGGAGGGACTGAAAACGCAAGCCATATCAGTCCCAGTTGGCTGCTGTAACAAAACACCCCAGGTCTCTGAGTTTTTCCCATTTACACCTCAGCGGTACATGAGGAGGCAGTGGTGGGGACAGAGGGCTCTTTTTTGTGCAGAAATTGAGGAACTCTGGTGACTATTTTAGGATGCCGCAACCTTAAAGAGAGGCTAGCTGGAACGCCCTCTGGCTCCAGGCCACCTTGGCCGGAACCGTCCCTCCCACTCTAGCCCTGAGACCTCTAGGGAGTAACATTGCCTCCCCGGGCCTCAGTTTCCTTCTCTTTAAACTGCTCCGTGGGGCTGGTAGCCAGGCGTCCATGAGTTATTGCAGGCACGGCCCTTTGCCCAGCGCCAGCAACTCTGCGCTCAGGCAGCGTGCCCTCTGTACTCTCGACACGGAGCCCAGTGGCCTGCCTGCCATGACTCTTGGCTCGGATGATCTCCGTGCCTGGACGGGAAGAGAAACTTCCAGGGTGCACTCCGCCACTGAGTCTGTGTTTCCCTGATGTGCCAGGGCGTCGCTGATTCTCTCTGGCTGTGAGCAAGCTCTTTGGCCTGTTTGGTTCAGTCCTGGGGAGAGAGCTGAGCTGCTGGCCAGGAGTATTGATGGGGGTGATGTCTGGACCCTGACTCTGGGAGCAGTGATCTCTTTCCTGAGCTCACTCAACACCACATTCCCTTTGGCCAACTCTACTACCGGTCCCGCTTTTTCTCCCGAGGGCCACGTTCTCTCCAGACTCTGTGCGGGGCCTCTACCGTCCAAGGGGCCCCTACCAAATACCCCATTAGGCATGCACCTTGGGTACCTGAGGCCTTCCTGTTGCCTCCTGCCCAGGTTGCAGAGAGAAGAGCCGATTTCACAAGCCCGACAGGCTTCTCCCCGTTTCCACACCTGGAGTTCACATCCCACCCTTCTTTGCTGTGGCCCAGCAAGCGCCCCTCTCTCTCGGACCCCCGGCTGGGCGTGGGTTCTTGAGGCCGGGAGACCTCGGTGGCCCAGGATTCTGGCGGCAGCTCTGTTCCGTCCTTGGCTCGCCTGGCACGGCTGGAGAATGGAAAAGCTGCTCTGTTTACAGGACCCAGGGCCAGAACAGCATTAAAAACTAAGGAGCAAATAAAATGTTGTAAACAAATCTCCTTTCCAGTAAGGATCACTCCTCCCCCCGCCCCGCCCCCCTGCCGTCCTCCAACACGCACCATTTTTCTCATGTGTTTGGATAAACTTTCATCCTGTGCAATTACCATTCCCAGGGAGGGGCGCCTATTTCCGTTGGCTATTTATTTTGATTTTGACCATTCGCCTGCCTTTTGAGCATCACACACCTAATAGGAAAGAAAATAAGCTCCCTACTGGGACCCACGGAGCAGCTCTTCCCTACCCTTCCTTTGTCCACTGGAGTGTTCCCCTCTGCGCCCAACACACCCTCACCTTCTGACTTCCCCTCAGAGTGTAGACATGGTGGATGGTTGGCTCCAGCTGGATGCCATGCTCCTCCCGCAGAGCTGGTAGCACTGGGGAGGTGAGGAGGAAGGAGGGGAGAAGATGAAGCAGAGGAGAGACATGGTTTCACAGAAAAGCTGGAACAGATACAAAGGGGTTGTGTGTGTGTGTGGGGGGGGGGTGACCATCTCTATGCACAAGCTCTTCTGTACGAATCCTCCATGTAGTGCGTTTTTGTGTGAGCAGAAAGCTCTTGAGCTCAGGTTTCCTGACCCCAGCAGGTAGCTTATTGTAAAACAGTTCATCCAGAGGGGGAAAAAGACCTTGTTTCAGCATTTTAATTTTTTTTCTTTTTGGTCTGAACCAGATTTGTGAGAAAGGAGATAGAGAGGAGTAACTTGTTTTTTTTTTTTTTGCCTGGCTCTGAACTACATGAGATTGGAGAGAAAACAAAACAAAACAATCCCCCCCCACCAAACAGTTTTGAACAATGATTATATTTGTTTATAAACGTGCTGCGTTATATATATAGGACCACATAGGACCCCTATATGCATATTTCCAACTGTCCCTCTGGTCTCCACATTCCCCTCTGCCCTCTGTTGTCCTTCCTTGTTGGAGCGGAGGAGGCTCACCCCATGCTGTCAGCCATCCGTGTTGGTAATCCCCACTTCCTATGTAAGTTCACTTTCTAAATTCCTTGCCTTTGCCCAGTTGGATGAATTGGCATTCTTGGAGGTGCTGGATTCAGGGAGGCCATGAAGGGCAGGGTGGCGTGACTCACGGACAAGGCATGGAATCCGTTTGACTTCAGATTCCTTCAGATTTAACTCAGTGGAGGCACCAGGAAGGGTCCTGGGGTGGAGGGGGGGTCTGCTACCCCCCCCACAGCTCCCCACTGAGCCCCCCAGCCTCCTCTGTTCTTCCTGACTGCCACCTGTACACCCTTCTACCAAAGACGTCCTAGAGCTGTCTCAGGGTCCCCTGACCGAGGCTTGGTCCCTGGGTTATGAGTTGGTGGCATGATGAAGGGGGCGAGCTGGACACTCCCCTTTGGAGTATGTGGGCCTTCTTCACAGCCCAGTCTTCTGAGGGGCTGAAGGATTATGATCTGTATTGCAGAGGGTGTGAGAATCTCATTAATAAAACCTGGTTGACATCGGAATGATTCTCGGTGTGCGTGTGAAATGCACAGGACCGTGTGCTGTGCCTGGATCCAAAAATATGCCTGCTTCCATGCCGGGTCTGTTGGAGCTTTGGGTAGACTTTTCCAGAATGGAGGAGGAATGTCGCAGGATCCATCCCCGGTCTGGTGCCTGGGTCCTCTTGAGAAGGGCAGGAGACTCTAACTTAATACAAACTAGCATTCAACAATCTAATGTGGTAGGAGAGAGACTGCAGTCCTTGTTCTTGGACCTTGGTTTTGGCAACGCTGGGGTTCGGGTGGGTCAGTGGGTCAGCAAGCTAATGGTGAGTGTTGATGGGCGTGGGCCTCTGAACCTCGGCCTGGAATAGGGTCCCCTAGGTGCCCCCAAGGGTAAATGTAGGGAGAGGAGGCCTGAGAAGGCGTCCGAGATGCCTGGGAGGGAGGCGGGGTCCAGCCCAGGCAAAGTGCTGCAGAGGCAAAATCCATTTGTGGTGGCTTCGCGCCTGCCGTCAGGGTTGGGCGCTCCCGGGTCAAGAATGCTTTGAATAAGAGGCGCTGGGGGTGGACCAGCCCTCCATGGGGGACGCCGGGCTCCCCAGGGAGGGGAAGACTTCATCCGGGCTGCGGCCCCATTCTCAGTTCCGCTCTATTTAGAACACTTTTTTTTTTTTTCTGGAAGGCAGATTACTGAGGAGGGAAGCAGCAGGCCAGTGGAGAAGATGATTCTGCGGTGCTTCCAGAATAGGGGGGCGGGGCGAGGCAGAGAGAGAGGCCAGGACCTAGCGCCTGCGGACTTCTCCCCTTCCTCTGTCTCTCGGTCCATCACCCTTCTCCAGCCCAGCAGCCCGACTCCAGACAGAGCTTATAAAGGCAAAGTAGAAGCATCTGGAAGTATTTCTACTTGTACAGGTAAGACAGGCAAGCAGTGGTTTTAATTCCGTGCATCCGTGCAATGAAAGCCTCACTGCGGTAAACGTCCCCTTCTGTAGCGTCTATTGCGGAACGGGACTCATGACACAGCAGGCCAGGCTGCCTGGGTGCAGGATGGTGTATGACGTGGTTCTCTTCTGGAGATGTGGGCCGCCTGGGTTCAAGGTGATCCCAGAGCATCGTGGAGGTGCTCACCAGCAAAGATGGCAGGTGAGGTGGTTGGCGTTTTGCTTACGGGCCTTGGTGAATCCTTCTCCCCCTGCCCCCCACAAAGGGACAGCTGTGTTGACTATAGTTTAGGTCACTGCAGACTCTGTAGACTGAAAGTGGTGGGTGGCCAAGGGGGTCTCTGAAAGCAGTGTCTTTAAATACCCTTCCCCAATCACCCCGCCTTCTCCTTAGTCTTTGCCTTGCAAGAGAAACTTGGGGCCTGAGAAGTGATTCTCATTGGCCCTACCTGTGGCTCGTATTGGAGCCCAGCGAGGCAGGTGGCTCTACCCACGGGACTCCAGGTGGCATCCAGATGTGCCTCGTCTGGAGAATTCTTCCTTGAAATGGACCATAGTCACTCACCGTCCCAGCCAAGGCAACTTTGAGACCAAAGGCAACTGTTTTTCCAGAGCTTTGGAAGCAGTGTAGCTCTGTACCTGCTTGTTAACTGACTTCATTCTTAGGGCTTCCTAATCAACAAGATCCTGGTCATGTTGGCCCTGTACCAGTGGGTGGCTTCCTGCTGAGGTCCTGGTAGCGTCATTAATGACCAGCAAACGTTCAAATGCATGAGCTCCTACAGTGAGCTCAGATGTGACTTTCAAACTCAGCCATGCTCCTGATTTTAACCAGTGGTTCTCCACCAGGGGTGATGTTGCCATCTAGCCCCAACCCCGGGGCCATTTGCAACGTCCAGAGATACTTTCAGGTGTCATCGCCAGAGGGGAGGGTACTATAGGCATGTAGCAGGTAGAAGCCGGGGAAGCTACTAAAAATCTTAGGATGGACAGGACGGCCCCTCCCCCCACTACAAAGTATTATCCAGCCCCAAATGTCAATAGCATTGGGCTGGAGAAATGTGTTTTAAATCTCTGCTGCAGGGTTGAACCATGCGCCAACCCCAGCCCCCTGCACCCTCACTCTCGCTTTATTTACCAAAGGGGGAAAAAAAATCTGTTATTTTTTCCGAGTGCATTTCCACCTGTATCTTATCAAGAACCACCAAGTTCAGCACACCCTTGATTAGTCACTTCCATTAACAGTGTTTATTTTGGGGTTTGTGTTTATTTTTGAAACGTAGTCTCCTTCTCCCTGCCCTCTCCCTTACGCACCAGTGGTGCTCAGCCAGCCTCCTAGAGAGGTCTTGTCCACACTTTTCTGGGCCATCCATAGACCTCCTTGGCCAACTTCTGAGGACAGAACGTCTCTCCTCCTCCCTTCCTGGCGGGGGGCGGGGGGTGGTTGGGGGGTGGGGGGCAGTGCGGAGGGGGGAGTTGGGGGAGGTCTGCAACTTAAAGCAGCAGTTGTCTTCCCCCCTACTTATTTCCCAGATACGCTTGAAAATCCTTTTCATTAGTGACTCCGTTGACCAACCGACCCGTGACAAAGCTGAGACTTTATTCCTAGCTGTCCACATTCCGTGAAACCAAAGACTCTCGGTGGTTTTCTGCACTGAGTCAGAGGCAAAGAGGTTTTTGCTTTGCTGGGTCCCTCCTGTTTCCCTGCACCGCTCCCTTCCTCACTGCAAGCTGGTCTCGGGGCTATATTTAAGTGTTTCTGAGTCATAGAGAACTGGTCCCTGTTCCTCCCTGCTCACCCACCCATCCGCTCTCCGAATGGCATCTAGCACTCCATCCCCAGTTGGAGGGATTTCAAGGCTTAGGGCTGAGTAACAAGGAGCTCAGAGAGGACTCCACACAGGCTTTGGAGGTCTTCCCCTTTGACCGAGCCCCGCCCAGTGTCCCGGCCTCCCTCCCCCTGAGCTCTAGCAGCCAGAACCTCCCCGGAGGTGACTAACAGAACCTCTTAGCCCATGGAGTCCCTCTCCATTCTGATGGGTCTCGTTGCTAGTGTTGCACAGAAACTGGTCCAATATTTGCAAAGAAACACTGGCCCAAGGATGCTTCGAGGCAGGCACCCAGCAGAGAAGGCCCAGAGTGCCCTTCCTCCTTCCCCCACACTCCTTCCTGGGACATTTATTTGAATACCACCGGGGAGTGGGTCACTTTGGGGTATTTATTTGTTTAAGCATGGGTGGTTCCTGCAGAGGAGGGTGTCGGGTTTCAAGGTTGGAGGACCAATGCAAACAGAGAGTGGGTGGTCTGGAAAAAGAAGTGGGCAAGGGGCAGGGGTTGAGAGAACCCATTCGCCCTTTTATGTTTGTAGGTGGAAATGCTGAATGAAGCGTGACCTTATGTATGACCCAGTTATCTCTGAGACAGAGCAACTTGAGGGGGGGGGTGTGTTCAGACTTTTCGTAGATTGTTGAAGAGTATTTGGAAATCATTGGGCAATTATTTAGGGGCAATAACTCTCTTATTAACTTATCTCGAGGGGTCTGGTGACTATCTGAGTGCCTTGGGGAGGAGCGGAAGTGTGGTTAGAACCAGGCTGGACTGTTTCTAACGGCAGACCCAACTCAGGGATTCTGGAAGATTCCTGAAAAGCTGCTGGGTGCAGTCGTGGGATGAGGTGCCGGTTGTCGGCCAGAATGAATGGTCCCGCCTTGTGTCCGAGGGCCCGCCTCATTTCTGGGTTAAAGTAGTCAGAAGAATATCTCTGATTCGTTTTTGGGGTCACAGCAGCCCTGACTGGCAGAGCTCAGAGCTTTATATTCGGCAGGTCACTGTCAAAAACAAAACAAAACAAAAACAAAGAGAAGATGAAGGAAAACCAGGAGTGAAGGTAACATTGCGTCTCTCCGGTCCACAGTATTCTGAAACCCAGCGGCAAAGAGCAATGGCAACCTAACCTGTGGTCCGTAAGGCCATCCCAGAGTTCTCGACTACAGAATTGGACGTTTGTCATAGCGGGCTCACCATTAGTCTTCACAGATGGGATGCTGAAGAACTGAAGGGTTTGCCAGGAGGGAACACACCAGGGAAGCTTTGGGGAATATGGCGGTATCCAGTTAATGACATTGTTAAATACAAGAGCTGCAAGGGAGATACAGTGAGTGGCCATTGTCCCCATGTCCTACCAAGGGAAAGAGGAGGTGGGGTTCACGGAGCAATGTGGAATGAGGTCAAACACCAGAAATCCTCCCCTAATCCTGAAAGTGACAGCCTCAGAGAGCCCAGGGCATCAACTTTTTTTTTAAGAGTTGGAGGGAGAGGACCGCTTTTTACCAAGTCCTAAGTACCGTTCCCTCTGGACAGAAAAGAAGACTCTCGCTAGATGAATAGCTGCACCAATTGAAGACCTTGTTAGAAATTAATGATGTGTGTAAACGAAGTGTTTAGGGATGAAGGGGCCGGATGTCCGCTGTTGACTTTGACATGCGTTGAAAAAGTGAAATAGGTTGATGGATAGATCCGTGCACAGGTATGTGATGAAGCAAACATAGCAAAATCTTGACAATCATAGAATCTAGGTGTGTGGGTACAACGTTTCTCTATGTTTGAACATTTGCAAATAAAGCTTGGAACAAAGTACCAATCCCTGGGCCACCCATGGTGATTTCGATTCAGGGAGATGGGGATGAGATCTAGGAATTTTTTTAAGCATTTCAGGGGATTCGGATAGAGAGCCAAGTTTGGTCAGACATCTGTGGAATAGACTGGTATTCCTCCAATTGGATGGACACAGGAATCCCCTGGAGATTCTGTCAAAATGAGGGGTCTGATCCAGCAGGTCCGGGGTGGGACCTGAGAGTCTGCCTTTCTCACAAGCTCCCAGGTGATGTTGATGCTGCTGGGGAATGGACTCCCACCTTGAGTAGAAGAAAGAAATGAGAGGACTCTCTCTTGTTCTTTCCACCTATGTAGTCCAGTGGAATCCTCTGGAAAGCTGTAAAATTGATGCATGAGGGTCTCACCCCCAGCGATTCTGGTTTAAGAGATTTAAAAAGCTCCGCAGATGATTCTCACGTGCAGCCACTGACTTTACGTCATGAAATGAATCCAGGGAATATTAAATTTTAGGAAATGAATTTTTTGCACGAAAGACACAGACCCTCATCACCAAAGGTGCAGGGGCTCTTCCAACAGCAATGGAAGACTCAAAGCCGCCCCCGCTGCGGGATTCCACTTAGTTCCCCCCATGATGAGAACTATTAGTGTTTATGGAGTGGCCGACGCCTTAGATGGTTAGGTTCCATCATCACCATAACCGGGTGAGGGAGGCATGATTACTCACTGAAGGTGGGGACACCGAGCTTGGTTAAGTGGCTGGACCAAGGTGACCCAGCTATTAAGTCTTGGACAAAGACTGGAACTAGGTCTGCCTGACTTCAAAGCCCATCGTTTCATTCCATCGTCTTCATTCCACGTCTTCCAGTGTGTTGGAGAACTATAGCCTGTGGGCCAGATCTGGCCAGCTGCCTATTTTTATAAATAAAGTGTTTTTTTGTTTTGTTTTTACGATTTTATTTTTAAGCAATCTCCACCCCCAACACGGGGCTTGAACTCACAGCCCTGAGATAGAGAGTAGCACACTCTACCCACTGAGCCAGCCAGGCGCCCCTGTAAATGAAGCTTTACTAGAACGCAGCCATGCCCGCTCTTTTCCATATTGTATCCGCTTTTGTGCTAAAGTGGGAGAGTTAAGCATTTGCGGCAGAGACCCCCATGGCCCCAGAGTTGAAAATATTTGCTATCTGGTCTTTTACATGACAGGTTGGCTGACTTTTGATGGATTGGTGAGGCAGCCAACCAGAGCCAAGGTGCAATCTTTGGCAGTACTTTCGAGCAAGAGGAATAGCCCCGTGGAGGATGAACTTGAACTCATGATCACTGCAGCTCGGGTTTCTGCTCAGACTTTTTACTTCAATCTCGTGGCCTGCCTTTCGCTCCGAGGGTTACTTGCTTCCTTTCAGCATATTTTATTTTGATGCCAAAATTTCTGATCTGTTTTCTTAAGAGCAGGAGGTCTTGATCCCAAAGCCAAGGCCATCACACAGCTCTCTGTGGAGTGGGGTGAGGGAGGCCAGCTGCTGGCCACCTTCCACTCCCACACCGTGGGGGGCCTTCATGGAACCGCTCTGAGCCCCGCTGCTCCTGGGAGGTGGCAGCAGCTAGGGGCTTCCCTCCCATCCCATCAGCCATCCACGGAGAAACCCTGCGGAGAGGTCGGGGAGGGGAGGAAATGCCAATCAGTCCATCAAAGCCCCACCCTCCTGGCGGCTTCTAGCCTCTGATCGGGGCCTGAGGACCCTTGGCCCACCCCCAGGGGCCGAGGGCAGGGCAAACAGGGGAAGTGCATTTGGTAATGATTCTAGATTTCCTGTTTGGGTTCTGTCCAGGGGGCTTTGGGACATGCTAACTTGTACTATGTGTGTTCACACGATGATGTTCCTCTTCTCCTGGTTTTTTTTTTTTTTTCCTCTAGAGCTTGTTTGCATTTTTTTTTCTTTTTATTATTGTTAAATGATGTGAGGCAGAGCAATGGGCCAATTCCCAGCCTCCTTTGAGGGAAATTTGTGGAAACGGAGAGGTGAGAGGTAAGGAGAGGCCAGGATACCCTGCCTGGATTCCTGGGGATTTGGCTTGGGTGCCAGATAGATCCTGCGCCCCCTGGACGTACGTGGTTGTAAGGTTGTAATGGAACTGTTTCGGAGGACACCTGGGTGTCTCAGTGGGTCTAGCATCTGCCTTCCGCTCAGGTCATGATCCTGGGGTGCTGGGATCGAGCCCCGCATCTGGGCTCCCTGCTCAGCAGGGGGCCTGCTTCTCCCTCTGCCTCTGCCCCTCCCCCTGCTTGTGCTCTCGCTCTCTCTGACAAATAAATAAATAAAATCTTTTTAAAAAGTTTGTTTCAGTAAACATTTATTTAGTTCTTCCTATGTGCATGGGATACAAAGGCACACAAAGAAAGCCTAGTTTTGTCTGGTAAGAGGTCAAAGGTGGCGGGGGGGGGTGGGAGGAGAGAGAGAGAGAAAGACTTCAAAGTAGTATAATAAATGCAGTAAATAGCAGAAACAGGCAGGGATCGAGATGGGGCTTTGGGGGGGGGGGCATGTCAGGATCCTTTAGTTCAGCTTTCTCTTCCTAGCAGGACTGAGCCCTAGTCTTGAAGATGGTGAGGGCACCTCTCACCAAACAACCCGCAAGCAGTGCTGGGTGTCCCCGTGTCGAGAAGTAGGGCTGACAGTCTCAGTAGCCACCATTTGCTCCCTGGGATGCAGCCTCTGTCACTGCAGGGCCTGGCGGGGAGGGAGGGGGGACGCTGGGGCCCTGGGGCTATCTAGCCTCCTAGTCTCAGGGAGCCTGAGGCTCCAGGAGCCTGCACTTCCTTGGGGGCACAGAGGTGATCTGCCTCCTTTTCATTACGTGAGAGGACTTTGATCCCTCCAACGGGGAGAGAAAGAGAGCACTCCTTTTCAACACCTTCCCATATCCTCCCCCCTGGCTATGCCTGGCCTCACTGTCACCTCACCTTGAAGGAGACAGGATGTGTTTCCAGCTGGGCCCTTTCTCTTCACGATTTAGATGGCGAGTGAGTGAAGTTTATTAGATTGTGGCCCAAGCTGTGGGGCTCAGGTTGTCCCTGCAAGCAGCAGGTAGAGGGGAAGGGGCAGAGACCCAGGGTTCTCAGCTCAGGTTTGCAGGGGTGGTGGGAGTGCTGCTGGGAGTGGTGCAGCTGGGGGACCTCAGTTCCCCGGGACTGCAACTCAGTGGGTCCAGCAGGAGTCATTGCTTCTGAAAAGCCCTCCCTGGGCCAAGCTGCATGTGTCACTCAGAGCAGCGTCTGGGTTTCCAAGCTGGCGGGGGAGGGGATTGTGACCCCATTGTCATCTCCCCTCTTCCCCTCCTGTCCCCTCTCACCTGTTGTGCTAAATGGTAAATGGTAAGAAAAAGAATCCTGGGCAGGATGCTCTGATGTGAGTGTTTTCGATTTGCGTGGGAACTCGTCACCTGAAGTTTCGGAGCTGGAGAAGCCTGAGCCAGTCCGTGAACTCTGAACTGAGGGAGGGCAGGAAACTAAATCAAACGCTGCTGCCTCGGTGTATCACAAAGCGCACCTCAGAATGCCCATTCCGTCCCCTTGGGCTGGGGTGCACCCCGGAGCCTCCGCAACCCTCAGCCTCCCGCGATGCATGGTGGGACCAGGGCAGGTGCGCTCTGCTTCCCGCTAGAGAGAGTGCAGCAAAGCTGGGTGCAAGAGTCTTCTAGAAGTTCTGGGGTTTCCCCGGAAATGAAAGGATCTCAGAAGCACACGGATTTCCTGTTGCTTTCCCATCTGTCAATGCAGTCTCTCTGGATTTTCCTTCTGCACGCATTCCCTAATCCTAGCCTTGTAGAGAGGAACGTCACATTTGGTCATTTTGCGAAGTGAGGATTCTTGTGGAAATGTCAATAATTACCTCCCAATGTATCTCTTTGGAAAATTCATATACGTATATGTACACACATGTGTTTATATATATATATATATATATACACCTTCTGTGTACATATATAATGTAGAAAGAATTTTACAAAGGAGGGAAGCCCCCTATATACAGTAATATCTGGTCCCCCCAAGATTCATATCCTGTGCCTGGAAGGGTGACCGACGTGTCCCAGTTTGCTGGGGAATGTCTCTATTTGAAAGCTGGAAGTCCTACATCCCAAGATGACACTGTATGTTAGATGGGTTGTATGGAGAAGGACCTTGAGACAGACTTGTCGAGTGAGTTGCCCAAGGTCACATGGGAAGTCAGTGGTTGAGGCAGAGTTTGCACTTAGGCCTAATTCTACGACACGTGCATGTTTTATAGGGACACTTCAGATCTTGCAAATATAAACGAGGAAACCCTGTTGAAGATCTAGAATGATGGGCAGTGGCTATAGGGGTTGGAAATCTGGAAATGATGAGCTTTCAAAAGGGAGGGCAAAGCCAGGAGGAGGAGGATCCAGACACTCAAGGCTCTCCAGCCTGGCTTTCTAAGGAGGATCAAGGACTAGCCTGGGGCCCCAATTAACCTTGCAGATGGAAGGCCGCCCTCTGGATGCCTGAAACTCCTCCCTCGGTCCATGCGGGTCCAGCTCATGAGCCCACGAAGGTGGTACCAGAGGAACCAGGATGGGAGAAGTGAGAATTTGCTAAGAGCTCCACTCAGGCGAGCAGCCGAGCAGCCTGCATCCCTCTCCCCCTCAGCCCCCAGTCCCATCCCAGCCCTTCCCCTTCTGCTCCCCCAGGGGCTTCCAGAACAGGTCTTCCTTGCCTGTTGGCCAGACCTGCTGCTGGGGGCGGGGGGGTGGGGTGGTAAGAGATAGAGAGCTAATTACTGTTTTCTCTTTTCAGTCCCTGTAGCTCTGCCAAACGAGGATCCCCATTCTGTAGGGACCCTAATCCTCTGCCGGTGCCTGGAGGTGTCCTAGGCAGATTTCCATCTTGCTCATTATCATGGGCCCGCTTCCAGAACATGTCCACTCCTGGTTTCTGTGACTCTGCCTACCTCGGACACGTGTACTTCCTGTGGCAGGCTGCCCCCTCTCCGCCCCCCCCGCCCCCACCCCAGCCACCTAGAGGAAGGAACGGTTGGCTTTCTGGGTCTCCTAATCGCCAGTGTGGAGCTGATAGGAAACCAGGCCAAGCCATTCCACCTACTGGGCCGAAAGAGCAGGAGCCCTCTTGGGAGTTTCCTAGTTTCAAAAGAAAGGGATGTCAGAGGCCTGGGTGGGGTGTGAATGTCCTGGAGGACAGAGCTCCCCGGGATAAGCAATAGTTCCAGAAAATTCGAGGGCCAGCAGGAACCCACCTCGGGACAATTTCCTGGGCTGCTGCACCCCATTTTGAGGGAAGAAGCCTAGCTCTTGCCCGTGCAGCTGGGTATGGTTCGCCGCCCCCCGTCCCAGCCCCATCTGCCCCCATCCCGTTCCCATTGAAATAATCACAGGGTAGGCCGGGCCTGGCAGTGTCGTCATGACAACTGCTCTAATTTCTTTTAATCCCAGTGTTCCTTCCCAAAGGGACCTCTTCCAGCCCCCACTCCCCCCTGCAACGTGTTTTAATTGTAATAACTCCTGGGTTTTCGGGAGGTAATGACCGTGTGTGGGGAGCCGGCGTTGGCCTGGCTCCATCCCCAGAGTTGCCCGCCCAGCGGCGCCAGGCAGCCCTCCGCCTCCCAGCAGGAGTCCTGGAGGAGCCCAGGGCAGGCTCGGGCAGGGTCTGCCAAGGGGGTCTGCGGCCTCGGCGCTAATGAACACAAGCCGGGGGGAACCTCAGCCCTGCGGGGTCTGTGTCCCGAGGACATTTTATGGCACACCACCCCTTACCCCCCATCTGCACGCTCTCCCCCACCGCTGGGCACACCTTGAAGGGAATCCACGGGCCATTACTCTGCTCCAGGCCCCAGCCAGCCACACTGCTTCAGAGATGTGCCCCTGAATGTGGGCTCAGATCACCTGGGGGCTTGTTATGATGCCGTTTCCAAGTCTTGGTGAGGCCCAAGAGCCTGCACTTCTCACCACCTCCCTGGGGGATGCCCAGGCTACCTCCGACCCAGACCACGTTTCCCATAGAAAGACTCTGGAGTGACCCTGTCCAGCAGATCTTGCTGCAGAGAGGGAGATGCCCAGTATTTAGACTGTGCAATGTATTCACTAGGCATTACCCCCTGAGCCTAATGAGCAGTTGAGCTGTGGCTAGCGCCGCTGAGGAAGGGAACTGTCCATTCGATCTCATGTTCATCCATTTCAATTTAAGTAGCCATGTGGAGGCTGGTGGCTACCATACTGGAGAGCACAGAAGGTCCAATGCTCAGTGCAGGTAGGACTTAGGTTGAATGGTCTCTGCAAAGGATGCCTTTGGATGCAGCCACCCGGTCAGCGTGCAGCCTGCCTCTCCCCCCCCCCACCATCTTCTGTCCCCTTAACCCTGCGCCGCAGAGACAACCCCCCTCCCCCGCTCCTTTGCTCCACGCAGTGCTCCTCTCTGGTTTCCATCCCGCTGAAAAGGGACTGCGTAAGGTCTGATGGCCTGCCTTGGAAGCCAGAACCTGAAGTCTGACCAAAGCCTGCAAAGGTCTGCAGGACACCCAGCTCTTCTGGGAAGCCGGTTATTTTCAAAGCGGCGCTGAGGTGCCCGGGCCGCTATGGGCCATCGGATACTGTGGCGACCGCTCTTTCTCTAATAACCTGAGGGACAGTTTGGGGTTGACACAGTAATTGCTACAGGAACACTTGGCCCGCTTTGGCTTCCACCAAAGCCTTCCCATTCGCACACTGAAATATTAGATGTGCAGTTGGGAGTCCAACAGCAAAATATTTCTGAAATTGTGTGTGTGTGTTTCTCTTCTAATTTAATGTGCCAGACAAGCCTCCCTGTAATTAAAACCAGAAACAAGGACCAGACTTAGACAGAGATTTGAAGGCTGTAAAATTCTAGGACAGGTTTATGTAAAGCAATTAAAAAGGGAGTTAAAAATTGTTAAAAAATTAAACACTAATTACTTTTTTTTTTCTCCTCTCATTTCTGCTGAGCTGTTTTGGCCGTGGAGCTCGAAGAACGATATAAAAAGGAGAAAGTTTTGCCTCGTTGCTGTAAATCATGTTCAACAAATGCTTCTCTGCATTTTGCAGCCGAACCCATCTGCTGTCAATTAGCCTAAATCATGCCTTTTCAATTAAATGGGCTTAGGGAAGTCTGGTAGCGAAACGGGTGTGTGTGCATGCGTGCGTGTGCGTGTGCGTGTGTGTGTGTGGAGGGGGCCGGGGCCGTGGTAATGGAGGGCGGGAGAAAGGTGAAGTCTGATTTCAGTCTGTGAGGTGGAAATATCTTTTAAAAAAAGGTGTGATCCTATTTTAGTGTTT